TATAAGCCAAATAAAATAAAAACATCTGCCCTGAAGATAAGGATAGTGCTGACAGATCACTTCCAATTCAATGCGCGCCCTGGCATCCCCCCCCCCCCGCAGAGCAGCATGAAATTGATAAACAGATTTCGGAATGGTTAGAGAAATGAAGGATATGCTTTTATCCATTTTTTGCAGCAATTCCACTTTTCATTTAATGGACTTCAAAACATACTTTTGCTTTGTAGATCCTTTACATATTAGTAAATATATATTGGAAATTCTATTTGACATAATCGTAAGTTCAAGCTTACTTTAATAAAATTGCTCTAACAGTCTGCAAAAAATAATAAGCCGGATTCAATTCGAAGATTAAGGAACAACGCAATCTGCAACATTAACTGAATTAGATAACTTTAGCTTAGCTTATACCGTCCGTTATACATTAAACGTGCATGCGTAAACGTATTATGCGCATGCGCACATGCATATTCGCAGCCGTAAAGGTCTTACACGCAAGCATCAATGCGACACATGCGCAGAAAGTTTGTAGCTTTGAGGTCCGGATTATAGATCATTCCAGATTATGGGTGTCTGAATTAACGACTTTTGACTGTATATATATAATAAAATGACAATGAAATATGCCAATCTCTTAAAAACAGTGACATAAGAAATATGATGAAAAATTGTTGCCAAACCCATATTTCTAAAAGAATGAAACTATTCAAAATAAGGCGATTTCATCAAAAATCTATCAACAAGCTTGTAGCTTTGAGGTCCGAATTATAGATCATTCTGGATTACGGGTGTCCGAATTAACGACTTTTGACTGTAAATAATTAAAAATATGCGAAATTTCTTCTGATGACCTCTTTCAAACAACATAATATTTCTGAAAAGAAGTAGTACATATTATGTTCACTCATGGTATTTGGGGCTATGAACAGAAGACTTTTATACTACTTCCTGATAAGCTATCGAGTTCAAATTTTGTAAACATATTGACTGCGGATGATAATAATATATGGTAAAACAAATTTTATAAAATTCCATTAAATTTTTTTAAATTTAATGTTGACATGATTTTTGAACATATTTTCATTTGCAAGACAAACTACAAATGTCAAAACTTTAACCGTTAAAGTTAAACGTTTGCACCGACATAAAATATTCTTTTAATTGAAATTGATATGATATTTTTAACATAACTTCTGATTTCTGAGTGAAAAGTCAGAAAATGTTTTCGATTATTTCAGGCATTTATAGGAAGTAAAAAATTTTTTATTCATTTTTGAAAAATGATTTTTCAATAAGTTATTAAGATTAAAAAGATAAAAATTTAAAAAGATTTATAACATAAGCTTTTATTGAAAACTTATAAAATTCTTAATAAGCCAAAGGCAAAAAATAATTTATGGCATATTTTAATGGGAACAAGAGATTAATTAAACTTCTTTACAATATTCAATTTATATGCAATTTATATCAAAGATTGTAAAAGTGCAGACAAATAACGAAATCAAACAGTTGATTTCCAATGTCAAAAATATATATAGGGCGCAACTTTTTTTTATTATTCATGATATAAATTTGTAAATGAATTTTGTAAAGAATATTATTTAATCTCTTATTAATATTAATCTATATAATAAATTATGGTACTCTTCTGTTATCGGAATCGGATTAAAAAATATATGTATGTATGCATGTATATACATGCATACATGTTCATGTATGCGCCTATATATACATACGAATGTATACATGTAAATACACAGACACATGCACATGACCTGCATACATACATTTCTGAATCCCTTCCGATAGCAGAACAATAGCTAAATTACTTTTCTTTTTTTAATTATTAATCACTTGATTTATAAATAAAAGCTTATTCTATAAAAATCTCCTTTTTGTATTTTTTTTTTATTTTTTAAACAGCATCTAAAACAGAAATTCTTATTTCCTCTTCCATTAACTTTCTAACTGGTAACAAATTTCTTATTACTTTAGAACCAGTGTAAGCTCGCCGTTATTGTAAAACATCAAGAAGAGTTCTTGATCATAAAACTTCCCGGCGCTATTGAGGGTCATTCATTAACTATTGTCATCAGGGTTGGAGGGACGTTTGTCCCCTTAGGCACTTGGGGGTTAAAGTGAGACAAAAATACGGGCTATCCATTTTTGACGGTTCTTTTAAGTCTAACAAAAAGACAGGTCAATCCATTTTCAAGCAGATATTTAAAATGACAAAATTACGGGAGAAACCATTAAGGAGCTTGCATAAAAGAATGAGAAAATCCGGATCAAACCATTAAAGGGTTTTAAAGTCAAAATTATCGTCTGTGGCTTGAAAGTTTTGCTTTTATTCAAAATGGCGAATTTAACAAAGCAGTGGTTTGAAGGCTACATTTACACTCTTTCCGAAGAGAAATATGCATACTCCGTTATCCAAAAAACGATGTGAGAGTCATGGTTTTGTGATATCTAAAGCATTGATAGGTAATAGCATCAACAAGAAAGGAAAAAAACGTCAAATTGAAGCCTCAAGTGGGACAAAAATTCCAAACAAGTATCCAAGGAAAAAATGGACAGCTTCGACTATTGCAAAGGTACGTTGTTTAATGTTAAAAGAAAATCCCCCTAGTCAAGGACAGTTACAAAATCATTAAAATGTTCGGTGTCCACTGTAAACAAAATGATAAACGTTGATTTAAATCTTAAGAAAGCGAAAAAACGCAATGTGCATCATCTTCCTCCAAAGCATATCGCTCAACACAGGACATGCTGCAGAATTCTATATGAGAAACACTTATCCAAAGAAAAATGGAAAACAATTGTCACAATAGATGAAGCATGGGTGTATGTATTTAAATGACTGTAACAAAAAAAGAGCCATTTATTGTCATAAAAGGGGAGAAAAAATTTAAGTACATGGTTCAAAGAATCGAAAGAAAGTTTTTCTAAGGGATTCATGATTGTTGCTGGTTTTTCTTACAATGGCAAGTTAAAAATAAAGAGAGTGCAAAAAAATGTCAAGATTAACTCCAAATACTATCAGGAACATATTTTATCGCCAATTTTTCTGAATGAAATACCATCGCTTTACCCACAGTGCCATCAATCTGTGAGACTCCATGAGGACAAAGCTAGCAGTCACACATCAAAATCCACTGTAAATTTCCTAAAAGAAATGGAACAAAAAACTGGTATCAAGGCCATACCCTTCACTTGTGCTTTCGGACTTTTAAAAACTGCATTATCTAAACGTTGTCCCAAAACCCAAACACTGGAAAGCTGTTGGGACTCTGGAAAGCTGTTTGGGAGGAATGGGATAGAATACCTCTTCTGCCACTTCAAAAGGCATTATTATCCTGGAAATTGTGGTGTCGAAAGATAGTTCAGAATAAGGGATGTCAAATAGAACACTTAAAACACAAGAATTTTATGTAATTTAGTTTTGTGAATACAATATACATCATCTAAAAAATGTGTGAACAGCCTCTGTATATGCTCATTATTTCACTTAGTTTCTCTGCATATCTACTTTTAACACATATGATTATATATTGCAAGTTCACCCATACATTAATCTATTGTAAGTCTTGTCTTGTACCACCATACTTGAAAGCAGCAACATTTTTGGTGACTAATTCTTGTCACCCAAAAGTTGCCTAACTTGGCGCCATTAAGTCTGCTTCCTGTATCACCATAATAGGTACTGTAATTGAATAAATGTAATTGATTGCTATTGTTATGGACTGCTGACAGAGACGTAGCTAGGGTTTTCAGCACCCGGGGACAACTGAAGATTTCACACACCCTCCTGTTTGCTAAGAATGGAAAACATTTAATTCTAAAATTTTGTAATAGCAATTTGGTGCCTCCTGGATGCTGCACTCGGGGACAAATATCCTCCCTTGGCCCCCTCTAGCTATGCCACTGCCTGCCGAGTGCAACAATAAATATATAGAGATACTTGGCGGGGTTTTTTGCGTATGATGAATTACACATGTGGAGATGGTTGATTTTAAATAACAGAAGCCTTTAATTACAACAATTACTACAGCTATTCATTACATTAACACTGATGATATTTGCATCAGAGGAAAAATCTGACCAAGCGTGGCGGCGATGGAGCGTGAAGTGTTGTAACTGTGTCCAGAAAAATCTCTTTTATGATTAGAGCTAGAGATTTGGGCATATGGTTGGTGAGTAACAAAAAGTTCCTTTAGTATCACTACATTATATTAGCTGTATTTGGCCATCATATGCCTTCCAGTAACTTTGAGAAGCAGAATGTACTAGAAATACATCGATGATGGGGTAAAAACTATGTAAGACTAGAGACAGCATCAGTTCAGGAGTTGTTGTTGTGTGAGTTGCTAGTTCAGAGTTAATTTGGAGTATTGAGAATACCCATGAAAGTTTCCTCTTTTAGGTGCCCTTTGCACTGCGTTCGTTTAACGTTCTTAGTAGTTTGAAGTGTAATTACTAATTGTACTCTGTGATAATGTGTCTATACAGGTATTTCTGTGGATAGTTCCAGAACTCTGAAGTGTTTTATTTGATAAAATAAATTTTATCTTTGGACCTGTGTGCATTCAGTCTATTACAAACCGGTTCACACCCAACAATATTACTTAAGTTTGACTTTCATACTGAATTTCCTGCAAGCTGTGAAAATTTTCTGTTAGTGTTATTTTTTCTGTTAGTGCTATACGTTTTGCATAACTGTCAGGCTGACATGTTAATAAAAAGGTTTATTTTAAACCTTCATCTGAGTTTGAGGCTACTGTACTTTGAAGTTACAATGGAATGATAAGTCTATGCTTCCTGGAGTGTAATTCAAACAGTGTGGAATTATACAACTTTTCACTGAATAACTTCAGATGATTTCATTACACCGTTAACAATGGCTAATCCTGGACATGATATGATTAACAATTAAAACATAATAACACAATTACATAAGGCATAATCATGTTTAAAACATGATTAACAATTTACAAACTTACCTTGCTAAAGCTGGAATAGCCATGTCTGTCTGTACAGCTATACTCATAGGAACACCAGAACAATTAATATTACTCAGTTCTTCAAGAAATGCTACAGTGAATGAATAATCCAATCCTAGACCCCCATACTCTGTTAATAAAAAAGACAAAAATCTTATTTAAAATTAAATTCAGTACATACTCTTTCACACAGAAATACTATCAGATACCAAGATTGTAGCCTTCAGAATACCTTCACATGATATAATATACACTTTAAACAATAAAATATGGTGGTTATCTAGAGTGGGCAAAATATGCTTGATATACCTCAGTAGACATTAAAAAATGCAATAACTATTATGTTGGTCAATATTTATATAACAATGGGAATTTTGTGATTATCTGCACCTCGGCTTTTAACATGCAATAGAACTGCTATATTTTGGAGTATTACATATAGCAACTGCCAGCCCATATACATGCATACCTTATATGTATCTGAGTACTTGCAGATATGCATGCTTTAATATTTAACCATCACTTCACTCGACAGTATCCACTGGCAGCAAGAATGTGAATATTATCCTTACAAACTATTGTTTTTCCTCAGAAAATTTCTTCCTTCTGTAAAAAGCACTTTCCTTCATTATTGTTTTATGAACTAAACAGTACCTGTAAGCTTTAAAATTAACTAAATAACCATTTTCCATTAATTCATTCAGTTGCCAATAAGTTAAAAATTTTTCATGGCAGTGCAGATAATCAGGAAGTACCAATTTACAAAACACAGTAGTTTAGGAAATCTAGATGAATTGCAAAATCTGCACTCTCATGAAAATATATTCTTTTTATGCAATTACTGTTGTTAAACACATAATACTCCATAATTATAGAGGTGAAACTACTCTTTAAGAATTATGGAAATGAAGCAACTGATTTTACACTATGCCAAGATAAATCAGCTGCTAGAATCTTTATTCAGAAAATGGTCACAATAAATAGTGATCTATAGCAGTTAGAAAGAAATGGTAATCACCTTAGAAAGTGAACATCATTTCTGTGAATACTAATAACATCAATATTAAGCCTCAGCTCTCCTGTTAGATTTTTCAAATCAAGATAAAGTCAGATATGTCCTTTCTGGGATTCAAACTCTATATAATGCTAATAATGCTGATAGTAAATTCTAATGATGATAGAACATTACAACTTTCCCAGAAGCGTTTTACTTGGGGTGCAGAAAATGTGTCCCCTCGGCAATATTTTCAATGGACTTATTTCTCGGCATATGGACCGGAATGATATGATAATTATATGGTGTCCATACTATCAGACATAATACGACTTAATCAGGGCTTAAATTGAGCCAAAGCCTGGCTCCTGTACTTTTCAGGCTTTGATGAAAATCATAATTCCAGCCAGAACCAAGACAAACTTTATACTTTAATTTATAATTTAACTATGAAAGGAATTTTTGCTTTTGTAGTACAAGTGATAGCTTGTTTTGCTAGTATTAGCAGATGGAGTATGAATCTTAGCAAGGGCATTGCTGATTTTTTCATTCTTCCCACTTACAAAATTCTAAATAGCTCTACAAGTGGTGCCTGATTAAAAATGTGGTGACTAAATCACTACCAGTTGGGGAGAATATAAGGAATTTTCTAATTTCCCACCATGCCTTTGTGGTGTAAGTAGTCATTCCAATCCATATGTTGAGAAATAAATCTATTAAAAATACTGCCGAACGAAGACATTTCTGCAATCCAGACTAAAGGCTTCTCTGGAACCCATAATTTACTATTAGCATTTAAAAAAACCACTTATATAAATTAATTTTGAATACACCTGGCATCAAATTTAAATTTAATAATCCATACAGCCTATTCCTAAAATTAGTGTTGACTGAACCATCTGGCTAAAGCTTAATGATGTAATTTTGTTTATCAATTAAAATGGACTCAAATCCAACATAGTAACATAGCAACCCTATAATAACTTTGTGTTAGAGATGGGCAAAATCATTCTTTTATGGGATTAGATCAAAATCTTTCACTCAATCTTTCAATGAAATGAATCAATTCTTTTCTATGATTAATTCCCCATAACCTTGATGAAAAATGAACAAGGGAATGAGGTGTTAATCAAAAGCAATTAGCCAAGATGGATACCAAGAGAAAAGTAGAAAAAATCAAACAAGTGGTGAGATCAGGACCGATTAGCAAGGTTGAAGCAAAGAGAAAAAAAAAAAAAAAAAAATTGAATGAGCTATGGGATCAGAAAAATCAACTCAATCAAATGCTAACTCCCTGAACGGATTTCTTTCAACCGTACATTTATCAACCTATCACTGGAGCTGTGTGATCTCCTAAAATCTCCTTTCTACATAGAACTAACACAGATTTCTGGAATAAAAATTTTACCAGAAGTTGGAAAATGATAATAATTAAACTAATTTTTAATATGGGAGGATAATCATTCTTTTCTCCCCTTAAATCAGAATTAAACTTTCCTTGTCCACTTTCAACAAGTGCTCTGTTTTTTTTTTTTTTTTTTTTTTTTTTTTCTCAAGTTATAACGTGTCAGGAATGTAGATCTCTATTTCTGACATGCTTCCAATCTATAAACTGTAAAAGAGCTATAAATCTTCTTTCTGGAGTTGGAGTAAATTCGCTCAGTAAAGTAAATCTGTTCTTTGAATCAGTTCCAGAACAGATTGTCCAATTCTACTTTGTATTGAATACACAAAGTCCAGGCCTGGCTGTTGAGGTTTATACCAGTGACATGACATTCTAAAGCTGCACTGACTTTTGTTATTGTTGCATATTTATAATTTTTTATTCTTACTCCTGCCTTGTATTAAAATATAAACTAAATCACTTAATAAGAGTTTGTGTTTATCTTTTTTTTTTAACACAAAATTTTACTTTTCTGTAACATCAAATCTTTTAAAGCAGGCACCTGCCTGTTATTTTAAAATTTTAATCTGCAATTAGTCTTTCTTATAAACGCTAAATTTTAACAATGTTGAAAATTTTGCAGGTTTACATACCAGTGTGTTTCATATAACTGACTACTGTTATTTCATTCTATTACAGACTGATGTGTTTGCCATTAGTGACATGCTATAGTTCATTGAAAGGGACTAGGTATGAAAAGAAAAATTATAATCCTCCTTAAGATGATCATATATGGACAGTGGATGTGGCCATCTTCATTCAATGAAATTAAGTATTAGTGCTTGTTTATGTTCTCAAAAATATGTATTTTTTAAGAAGAGGTCACCTTAGGTATGTGGTTAATCACAACAGGATTTATTGTATTGTTATGAAATTTGTACATAGATAAGAGGATTTTAGTGGAATTCTATGTGAAATTGTATTTTTCTGTGTAAAAAAATTTTAGAGAGAAGCTATGCTGGAAAAGTAAGAATACAGGGGCAAGTCAGTTGCTCTCAGTTGCTGTTGTTAGTTACACAAGCTTAGCATGTGTTCCGAGTAATATCTACAGTTTAGCTTCGCTCTATAGCTATGCTTGAAATCAAGAAAAAACATTATGTTGTGTTTACCGTTCATAATAGTTTGAAGTGTAACTACTGATTGTACTCTGTGGTATTGTAGAGAGTTGTAAAATTCTTTTTGTGAAAATTTCTAGATCTCTGAAGTGTTTCTTTTGATAAAATAAATTTCATCAACCTATCACTGGAGTACAAACCCACATGCAAGCAACACTTTATGGTGTCAGAAGTGGGATTGAATGCTGGTGACAACAGCAATGGATGAGCAACTAAGATAGATTGTGACTGCCTTTGCTGCATTCCAAGAAAATACAGAAGCTAGTCAAGAATCCATTAAAGAGGAGAGGAAGGCAGATAAAGAAAAGATGGAAGAGGCAATCAAATCAGCTCGAGAAAAGAATGAGGCAGGTCAAGAGGAAATGAAAAGAGAAATTACTGCCATAATAGAAACTAAATTTGAACATATGGAAGACAGAATAGATACGGTTGAAAACAGAGTTGCAGAAATTGAAGAAAGAGTTTCTAATGTAGCGCGAGACAAATTTTAAGAGAAGGCTATGCTGGAAAAGTAAGAATACAGAGGCAAGTGCATTTAACATTGAGTAAATAGGTATCTCAGTAATTTGGCGAGATATTGCCAAGCTAACAATGGTTTTGGTGACCATTTGGCAACATTTTGATCCAGTTTCTGTAGCACCGTAATTTGTACTGAAATTGAATAAATGCAGTTGACGACTATGTTAGCTGTAACTGAAATTCCACACTCTCATTGCTTTCCAGTAATTTCAAGAAGCAGAAAGCACTAGAAAAATCTTGGCAGCTGGTCAAAAACCATAAAAGGCCTAGAGAGAGAGCAGCTGAGTTTAGTTGCTTAGTTACTGTTGTTTTGAGTTGTAGCTTTGCATTGTGTTATGTTTAACATTCTTACCAGTTTCAAAGTGTAACTACTGATTATACTGTACAGTGGCGTAGCTAGGGTGGGGAAAGACAGGACATCTGTCCCTGGGCACAGCATTCAGGGGGTGCCAAATTGATGTTACGAAATTTTAGAATGAAATGTTTTCCATTCTTGGCACAGAGAAAGGGGTGCAAAATTTTCAGTTGTCCCCGGGTGCTGAAAACCCTAGCTACACCTCTGATACTGTGAACACTTGTGCGAATATTTCTGTGGAAAATGCCAGAGTTCTGAAATATTTCTTTTCATAAAAATAAATTTTATTAACCTATTATCAGACTTGTGCATTCAATCTATTATGAGACTGTATGCATATAAAACATTTTGGTGTCAGGAGTGTGATTGAAGTCAGTGACAAAAACGATGGAGGAGCAATTAAAACAGCAGCCAGCAGCCTTTGCTGCATGCAAAGAACATATGAAAGCAGGTCAAGAATCCATTAAAAAAGAGATGATAGCCGTTCAAGCAAAGATTGGAGCAAGTCAAGAAGAAATAAAAAAAAAATTATGTACATAATAGAAAACAAGTTTGAGGCTATGGAAGGTAGAATAGACACTGTTGAAAATAAACTTGGACACATTGAAGAAAGAGTTTCTTCTGTAAAAGAACAAGGAGAAGAGAGAGTTTCTGCTGTGGAGCAACGAATCAAAGGAAGAGTTTCAGCCATCCAACCAGAAAT